TCGAAACCAAATGAATAGAAAGCTCGTATCTTTTGAGTTGAACGTCGCACTCGTATATCCACTTTGTTTTATATATCGCGTCGGTGATTTGACAAGATTACGGGTTTATTTTCGAGCCAAGTACCGGCGTTCGTCACCCGAAATTTCAATATTTCTCCCACTCGCTCGGCAATTGTTGCGAAACGAAACGACGCGAAGCGATGCGCGGGGGCTATCAGAGGGAAGAAAGAGCGAAAGACAGAAAGAGAACGCGAGCAAGCGAAAGAGATTTACCGATGTATCGCGTGGACACAAAGGCCCTGGAATATATTTCCGTGCCCGGCGGGACCATCATCTATAAAATACACGCCGCCCAGTCTAGACAAGCTTAAGCGGCGGATGACAGTTTTACGTCGTCGGTTATGCGAGCGGAGCTGGCCGACGACGGTGGCGCGAGCGGGGCGAGAAAGGAGATCCACGGAGCGTATGACTCGTATTAAATAGCGGGAACACGTTCGATTTTACGACACCGTTGTATCCGGCAAGGATTACGGTCCGGGTGACATTGACAGCGTGCGCGTACGAGAGTACGTCATCTCGTAGCGGAGAGACAGTAATTGGAAATTACGATGGGAAACGCTCTTGCTACGGGAACGCGATCGAGGGTGCGACCTCGTAAGATCGGCCACTACGCCACCGTCAAGATGTGTTTACGGTCATTGGACTGGCCTCGTCTTCCCGGCAGTAGCGGCGGTTCTTCGCCCCCTCCGATTTTCTCTTCAAATTTACCCTGAAAATTGTGTAATCGTAGGACAGTGTGGCGTTTTCAACAACTTTATGAGAGTTTTCTGAGGTTTTGCCATGCATTTTATTAGTAAAGTGTATACTAAGTATCATTTCTAGTAAAATGTATGGTGGGATTTCAGAAGGCTCTTATGAAGTTCTTCGAGGTGCCGAGTTGTCCCACGATCACATTTTAAGAGAAGATTCTCTCCGTGTAGGTATCTTTGAGAGTCTCGGAACTCGTTGACGCATCCGTCTAGAGATTGCGTCTAATTCTTTTTACTGATGAATTAATTTCACGCCATATCGTATCTCTATAAATTATTTAGAAATTTAGAGCAATAATTCGCGTATTCCAATGAATCGCGTAACCTTTCATTAAGAACCACTGTTTTATAAGATAACGATGTTATTCTTTCGCGTCTTTATGGGTTTCGCTCTGGCAGATAAATGTTCGTAGTGGAACTTTCCGTACTTTTACAGGATGCGGGCATGTCGTATAGTAATTTAAGATAAGAGACATAGGAAAAACCATGTTGCTATTTAAGAAATACAACTTTGTTGCATAATAATCGATACATTCAATGAAAAATAATATACAGTCAATAACTGTACAACTGAAATGAATTTGTCTTATATCTTCCTCTTTAATTAATGGACTGTTAACTTTGCGAAAGGGAAAGTGCTTTGGACCGTGAGTGCCAGAAACGCGGAAGGAAGCTGGCGAGAGTGTCACGACTCGGCGTGAGAAATTTTCGAGTTTAACATTTCCAGAAATGCATGCCATGTAAGAGCGACTTCGGAAAGCGACGCGGTCTCGCCGAACGTGGTCCATTTCCATCATGGCTGGGATATAACGGGTGGCCCGGTGAGAAAGCGCGAGCGGCGGCGAATTTATGGGCCGCTCTGAGATTATTCCGAGACTTACGCGCCGAGGAAAGGTGCATCGCGCTAAACAAATTTATGGCACGCCCGAGATTATGGTCGACGAGAAGTAGCTGGAGAGCTCCCCAGAGAATTTTCCGAATCGAAATTCTGCTCCCGTCTCAGCTGTCTTCTCTCTTTTGCCTTCGGATAGAGCCGTGCACCGTGTGCTTTCACGAAAGCGTCGATCACGGTGGGATATTCTCTCAATTTATTTTCTTTTCGTTAAAAGTTCTCCTCGCTCGTAAATACATAGAATCTAAACGTCTTGTATTTCGAAGAGGCAACTTCGATCGTTGTTGCTAATTAAAGTAACAGATTCTGCTTTAATCCGATAATTTTCATCCTGCAAAAACCTTTCGTCGTTTACTTAAAAGATATTTCAATAACTGTCCATGGTTATTTCTTTACATACAAGTAACATATACGAGGTATCATGCGTTGCTTTTGAGGTAGCTCAACCGGTATCGATAAGTAAAACAGAAAGCAACGTGATTACCAATCATGATTAAATTTCTTGATGATTGATCGTTCACGTATGCGGAATTCAACGCTAATAGAAACTTGCGGGGAAACATATTTCTATAAATATTATTTATCATCGTTGCGAATACTTGACGAAATGCGATTAAATTTCGCAAAGCATCTAGGAAAACATGATGTATTATAAGAGTTTAATAAGAAGCACAGTCGTCTTGCAATAATGCTGACTAGAAAAAGAGAAAGAAAAAATAAAGCGGTTAGCGAGGTAGCGTGATTGCATAAATTGGTATCACGAAACCAGTTTCGTTTTAATCTAATAACTTAATCTAATATGTCTAATATCAAAATAGCGCGCAGTGATGGCAATTAATGTCATATGATAAATCAAAGACAGATACACATGCAAGTTTAGCGATTATATCGGGCTCGCTTGTAATGATTGATGAAAAACATCGCGCAATGAACTTTAGCTAATGTCATGATTGATTGCAAACGGATGTCGCATTCTGTAGCAGCAATTACGCTCATATTACATTACGCGGCGCGAGCACATGTAACGTTCTCCGCGCACTTGTTGAGCATAATTTCGATTAATTTGAAAAGTGACTAAGAAAAAAATTATTTTATAGCTTCCAAGGCCTGTTATCGTAAATCTGGAAGCGTTTTTCTGCGCAAAGAAATAGCTAAATAAATAAATAATTGCTGTACAACATAGTCGTTATATAGTCGTACATGCAAAGCATGTTTCTTTTTATCCTTTTAGCAAATTGCTACTGGTATGAGAATAAAAGCATAGTTAGTATTTTCATGCAGAAAGGGAAATATCCTAATTATGCTAATAATTCTAATAATGTTGTTTGCTGGCTTCTTAATGTTGCTTTTAACGGATTATGCGCCAAGTAATATTATTATTCCTGAAATCTGACGTATCGTACAGGAAAGAGAGAACAGAGAGCGAGAACGAGAGAGAGAGAGAGAGAAATTAATATTTCACATAAATATATTACATTGAAATAAGTGTTTATTTTATATTCGAAACATTAAATGTAACAATGTTACACTAAAGTTGTAATATAATAGACACTTATATATTTGAGATAACACAATAATAGTATATCTTAAATTTTCAATGTAATAAAGTCGAATGTAATAGTTGAAGAAAGTTTATATCGCTCGCGGAAGCAATTTTGCGCAAGTATAAACATGCGCATGTACTATTTTGTAAGATGCACGGAATCTTGGATCGTATATATCGATCAAAAGATACATTTACATTTTTAACGGTACAGCATATCCATAAATCTGCGATGCTAAAACATACAACGTCATACAACGTGGCTTATAAGATTTTTCGGGATGGGACGTGTACGTCGTAATCTTCGCAACTGTTTCTCGTGTTTTATCCGACTAACTGCGCGAAAATTGAACGTGGGCTGTTTTCGAGCTTACTAAACGCGAGCGAAGTTGTCACGACGCTACTTGCAATTCGAGTTCGAAAGCTCGTTAAAATCCATCGAACTGTGAGAAAAGCACACATTGCTCCCTTCTTAACTCTCGTAGTTTCTTAACTCTCGCGACGACTCGTACTTTACCGGTTTTCACGTTCGTCCCGCAATTTATATTGTCATCGCGTGCACGTCGAAATAAATAATAGTATTTTGTTTAATTTATTACTAATTATTTTTAAAAATTAGCAGCGAATTAATATGAATAAATACATTAAATTTGATTAAAAGGTAATTCTGATAAATATAATAATTACATTCATCATTAAAATGCTTATTCCCTTTCGAAATATGCGTAAGGTACATATTATCACTTTTTCGTTTTAAACGCGAACTAAATCTAAAAATATTAACAAAGAACGCTACTTTTCTACTTTATATCATTTTTAACTATACTTTGTTTCCCATCCGCTTCTTTTATGTCTTTCTTTTGAAAAAGCTCTTATGTTCTTGAATACACAGTAAAAAATCGTGTGTTGAAATGTTAACATTTTCTTGTGTTACCAAGATTTGATTATTATTTCAATGTAAAATTAACATAAAACATATGTTATTATTTTCGTAACATTTTTATGTGTTATATTTATGTTAACATAATAACTCGACACATTATGAACGTCATTTAAAAATTGAATATTATTTTGAGTTCTTTTAACGCAACTATTTCACAAAATCAACATTTCTTAAGAATTATATTAACTATTCTAATTTTTTTAACTATTCGTACAGTTTACTTATCCTGTCTGTTTTTCTTACATCACACTTATAGTTAAAAGAACATAAACATAAATGTAAAGTATAGTGTTAATTAATTAACATTTATAATTTGTAAAAAAGTAACACGCAATGAATGTTATTTTAACTTAAAATTTAGAGTGGACTTTTTGGGACATGTAAAAATTGTTAACATTAACATTTAATTTTGTACTGTGTATAGGTAAATCATTATTCTCTTTTTTCATTATTCCATTCTTATATTACGTCTCCACAAGATACGTATATTCTAAACACTCTCACAAGAACTGTCGTGATGTACGAGAGCTAAGAACCGCGATCGAATCCGTTTCTATCCTACCTAATAACGAAAACTACTCTTGAAGCAGGCATCCAATAGTGTATCGATAGCGCTCGGAGTTGGAGTGGGTGTCGAGCGGGAACAACGTACTCTCTGCTATTGCGGATATCTAGAATTAACTGCTCGCCGTTGTCTGAATAGTTTCTCCGACGTGTTATTACGGAGAGGTTGCCGAAAGCTGAGGAAAGGGTCGGGAGGGGAGGAGAAGCCGCCATGAGCGTGCGGTTAATGGTAAAGTCGGTCGATCTCACCGTTTGTGCTGAATCCTGAGGCCTCTTCGGGGGTGCAGCGGTACACCGTCCTTCAGCCAGTGCACTCTCGGGGGCGGCGAGCCCCTCGTCCTGCATACTAGCTTCACTCTCTCCCGTAACCTCGCTATCGAGTCCCTGAGTTCGGACAACGTAACTTCTCGCACTGAAATCAAAAGTTACAATCTCGTTAACGCCTCGTTGCACATGTTCGCACACCTTCAGACACGTACCCGATATCAGGGAGTTTTAATTAATTCGTGTAATATTTCGGCTGAGATATTTAAATGGTGTCCCGGGCATGTGAGATATTTGTGTAACATTTTATAAACTCATTGAAAGCACCAAAGTTAAGAAGAGAATTTTAGTCGAGTTAATTTTGGACGCGATACAGAATTCTTTTAATAATTGAATCGGTTGAACAGAAAACGTTGTACGTGGGTGACAAAATCATACACGTATTTGAGAAAAAAACAAAAAATCAGTTTTTATCAGGGTTGGGAAAGTTACTTTATAAAAGTATCTAGTTACAGTTACAGTTTTTTCGCTAAAAATGTAACTAGTCACAGCTACAAGCTACTAATTCTGAAAAGTAACGCGTTTGTGTTACTCAAAAAGTAACGAATCGTTACTTTGCAATTATTTTCTTGCAATGAAAATAAAAATATTAAATCTGTAGTTGAATTATAATATAAAGTGTGGATAAATCCCGGATAACACAAAATATTGGCGTAGTATTGGGAAATAATGTAAATGCAATACCGTGCAATTATTGGTACGTAACATTGGCGTTACATTAGCCTTTATTCTATTACTCAATATTACAATTTTATTGGGCAATCTTGCTATACAGTCTAATACACAATAGTTTGTAAACCAATTTTTATATTTAGCAGTTATACGTATAATTTATATTTCAGAATTTTACTTTTTATTTTATTGTCGTGTGTAAGTTTTATGATAAGGGCATACACATTCAGCGTAGACATCTGCGGGATGCGAAACGAAGAAGATTGGTTTTTGGTTCGTGTCGCTACGTCGATTTTTCGCCGAGTTATAGCGTTTTAAAAATCGGGCGCGCGCGCGCACAAACACATTCATTTGAGAAGGCCACGTGAGTTTTACGCGAGTAGTACGCGAGCGTACTATGTCCCCAAAAAACTGGCATTTAAACATACGAGGCACCCGGCGTTCGGTAGTAAACATCGCCGCGCGAGACGCCGCGTATAATATACGCGCCGTCTGCTGCTTCTGAATGAAGATTAAGATCGCGAGTCGATATAATCGTCAATAACTTTGCACAGAAAAATCGTAGGAAGATGATTCTGGTCTCGTTGGAAAGCTAAGATTTCAGCGCTTCTAACGAGTTAAGAATGGTTTATCTCGGATTATTAGTTTATGAGGCATTATTGATAAATTCCGAGAAAATTGATTTTGTCCCAAGATCGAGAGTGCGAATTAATCTTTCGATTGGATGAATCTCTCTCACGTCATGCATTAAATAGCAACACTAATTTATGTTCATTCAATATTCATTTTTCTATATACAGGGTGTTTCAGGGTTAAGTGTCCTAACTTAAAATATGAACTTAGGACCTCAAA